TCCTAGAAGCGCTGGGTATAATGTTGGGCTTGGTCGAGATTTACATCCTGTGGCTGCAAACAAGATATTTTATTGCACAGGCATGTTTAATTATATATTTTGCGTTATTTTACCTTGCGCTAAACATTTTAACGAGCAAACGTCATTATAAATGAACTTCACTCCAATTAGCAAACATAATAAACGGAATAATAAACGTACATTTATCGCTTCCGCGGTAGCAAGCAATGCATAAAACCTAAACTTTAGCGGCAATTTATCAGCCTGATGAGCTCCGTTTTCTGTGCGAAGGACTGCATGCAAAAGATCAATGACAGTACACCGTTCTGGATAAAATAATGGCAATGTGCAGGAGCACAATGCCGATTTAAGATTAACACAAAAATAACAAATTACAGATAAATGTTACAAATTTAGTATTCATGCATAGCACAGAAAAGGTGGGGTGTTAAAAAACGCCACAAGCCGACTATAAGGAGGCACCCCACCCCATCAGGCAGAGAAATCACCGCCAGAGCCGACAGACTAAATTGATATAAATCGGGAAAGCAAGACAAACGGCCACTCATGACATCCAAAATAAGCAGCGAAGACGCATAAGAATGTAACCTAAAATACCACTACTGAACGTATAAATTAAATAATAGACGTATGGCACTGACGGTAAATTATAACTCTGAAGCCGACGATGAACCTAGCCCCTGCATCAGCACACGGATGGGCAACAAAGTACATTATAAAAAATACACAAGCTGAAACCTTAACAAAGCCTCGCCAGCCTAGCCCCTCATCAGCTAGACGAGTGTTATCATGCGTTAAATGTGCTGTTCATTAACAAGACATATATTTGTGGCCTACTACTAACCGTTTGCCTCACAAATACAAGAATGCAGCCACCGTCAGTCGCAGTTAAGACGAAGCCGAACTTAAGCTTGGTATGCGAATATACTTGAGGAATGCATCGGATCGCCAGCGCCCCATAGCACGAACTTAGGCATCAGAGAAACCGCACTCTGCCGCAAAAGTGGCTGCGCCAATACGGAAACTGTGGCCTTTATACTTCATGGTATCAAGACCACAGCCGCGAAAAAGCATTGATAAAAACTTAGTAAATAACGTGCGAGGCACGGCGGAACCCGAAGGCATCCTGAACAGCGGACCATCGGTTAAGCCTCGAACTGACAAATACTCTAATAAGTTCTGAATAGGGCATATGTCAGAACGCCGAGACAATGTCAGTACAACAGGGCGCTGGTTATAAGAATGTTTGACTAAATCGTGAAAAGTAATCTTAAGGCCCGCGATGAAACCCGAGGGTTCTACCATCTTAACAACCTGGTCTATATGGAGAACTGATGGAGAACGAGAGCAAACGGTAATTTCGCCAATGCGCAGAGACGCAAAAAATGCAGTAGAGCACATAGCCGTAAAGAGATGCGTCTCGTAAGCACTCGAACACAGCGCGGGAACCTGCCTCAGAATATTCCGAAGAATAGACAAAGTAATAGGCAATCGAGTATCAATTCGCGCTCCTAACTTTTTATAGCCTTTCAGCATTTCCAACACCCAAAAAACCTTCGTGGGGTCTGGGTACCCGGCCAGGCGATGGCTATAGCCAAGAGCAGATACGTATGTGAGGGCTGTAGATGATGCATACTGATTTTGAAACATGTAGGCGATAAATAAACTTAAATCTGTAGGTGTAAGCGGAAGTGAAACCACTGCGGAATGCATCATCTGGTGGGAAAACCGTTCGTACAATTGCCAAGCTCGACGGTACGTTGGGACTGATGATGGCTGCAAACTCGCCATTGGCAGAGTAGAAGTTATATCTGCCAACTGTGTGGAAGAAGCTGGGCGGGAATCACCGAGGGATAAATCTGCACGCCCGCCGGTGCCAGCTCGCGGAATTTCGAAACCTGTAAACGTGACAAAGCATCAGCCAAAGTATTTTTGGCACCTGGAACATGCTTAGCACGAAATAAAATGTTAAATTTCAAGCAAGCTAGAACCAGCCGACGGACAAATATCATCACAGTGGGATCCCGTGAAGTAGTCTTATTTATGATCTCGACCAATGCTGCGTTGTCCGTGTAAAATAGTATGCGGTGGTTTCGCATGAGATGACCCCATAAGTGGACACTGAGGACAATTGGAAAAAACTCTAAAACAACAATGTTGAGCTTTTTCCATTCCTCAGGCCAAGGCCCATATAACCAAAGGTTGCCAAATATAGCGCCAAAGCCATGACCCGCAGTGGCATCAGTATACAAATTCAAAAGGTTGGAAGGGAGCCAATCATCGGAAAGAAAAAACGACCGGCCATTGAAATCATCCAGAAAGGATTTCCAAAGGCCTAAATCTGCTTTAACTGACCTTGTTAGACGAATACGATGAAAGGGGGCATTAACACCTTTAGTTAAATCAATGAGACGCCGCAGAAAAGCCCGACCCGGTGGTACGACAGTACAAGCGAAATTAAGCAGACCAATCAAAGATTGAACCGCTTTCAAAGTTGCCTTTCGACGGCAAAGAAATTCGGAAAGAATACTGCGCGTTTTCAATATTTTGTCAGCTGGTAAACGAGCCTCCATTGTATTCGTGTCTAACTCGATGCCAGCAAAAGTCAAAATTGTGGAAGGGCCGATCGTTTTCTCAGGAGCGATTGGCACCCCCAAACACTCGCACAGGGACAAAAAAACCCCTCAAGGCAGTGCAACATTGGTCGTACGATGTGCCTGCCATTAGGTAGTCATCAAGGATATGAATAAGATGTGGAATGTTACACCGAGTTTTAGCAACCCACTCAAGAGCAGTGCTAAACATTTCGAATGTGCGGCAGGAAGATGCACATCCCATGGGCATGGCTTTATCATAATAATACTTTCCCTGCCACATGATACCTAACAGAGGGTAATCCGCTGGACGAATGGGAATAATGCGAAAAGCACTCTTTATGTCCGTTTTAGCTAAAAAACAGCCTCTACCTAATTTTTTTATAATGGCAATTGCATCATCCACACGACTATAAGAAACAGTAGTGTGTTCAGGCGAAATGCCATCATTGATGGACGCCCCTCGTGGAAAGGATAAGTGGTGAATAAGCCGAAACTCGCCTGGAACCTTCTTAGGCACAACCCCCAAAGGAGAAACACGGAAATTGAAAAAGGGGTGGTGGGAAAAAGGGCCTACAATGCGACCCGCCACAATTTCTTTCGCAAGTTTAGCACTGACAACTCCAGGGTTTTGATTTGCCGAAATCAAGTTTTTTGAACAAAAAGAGGTGTGACCACCTTCAAAGTGAAGAGGAAACCCATAGGTAAAACCCTCAAACAACATTAAAACAACTTTGACAACATATCCTTGTAACAAAGGCAAAAGGCGATCAATTTTTATTGGGGTTGGAAGTGCGCACACCCGCTGCTGGTTTTGTAATGGTGGTTCTGCCTGAGGGACGAAAATTACAGCTTTTAGCGGAGTGTGCAGCTCCACACTTAAAACAGGTATGCTTGTAAGAACAACCTGTGCACTTAACCCCCTTGTGGAATGCACGGCAGAAACCAATTGGGACAAATGGACCCAACTGCGAGGTACGACCAGAAGGCTGTGCAATATTTGGCCGAGCTGGAGCAATATGCAATATGTGCAAAACTCTGTGCACGAATCCACAACTCAAAATGAGTTGTGCCCCAAGGCATTTCATGTGCTCTTGTTTGTCGTAGCGATCGAAACTGAGTGTCATAAAATCTCCAATTCGCTCCTCGTGCAGCCAAATCTCGCACAACCTCCGCATATTTCATTAAATCGGGAGCCTCTTGAGGAAATTTACTGGTGTAAACCCCAACAAAAATCTGGAAGGCTGATGTCCACGCATCAATACTGTATATGGGTTTAATCTTAGAGGATGGCTCTAATGAAAGTGTTGGCACCGAACTTTCACTCTGTGCCAGTGAAAGCTGATATCTTGTTTCACCCACATAGGGGTTCAATAGTGAACCAAACTCAATAAACTCATTTGCCCAAATTTTAGTCTTTATTTTGGGACTGACTTGAGCATCAATTGGGATGGTAATAGAATTAAACTGCACATGAGAGCCCGATGATGGTGGACGCACAACCTCCAGATTAACATGCTCACCTGTGAGGTGCTCTAAGGCTGATGCCACTGGCCCCTGCACTTGGGCACCAGTCTCAGAGCGACCATTAAGGGGTACCTCCCTGGTGTCAACAACCGCAGAAGGAGTTGGTGACTGTATGGCCGGATAGGATAGGATAAAACTTTATTTGACTACGCTGGCCACTTCAACCATAGCTGCTTTCCAAGTGGGGCGTAGATAAATGTTACAAAAATATATAAAATACAAAATCACTAAGAAAATTAAGAACTACGAATACAAATACATATTACAAAACAAATGGTATACAAAACTCAAATAGTTAATTCGTCAGACTAACAGAGGAAATATTTCTATTGAAAGAATTTAAAGATTCGCTGTTTCTTACTTGTTCAGGAATGCTATTCCAGATTTTAACCCCACTATATCGAAAACATTTTCTGCCATACTCGGTATTTGGTCGTGGCAGAAAGAGAGACGAATTTGAACCTCGTAAATTATAACTGTGGATATGGTTAGAATTCTGGAACATTGATGAGAACCTCGATGGTGCCAGATTATTGACAACCTTAAACATGAGACGGGCCATATTATGTTTTCGCCTTTCTTCCAAACTTATCCACCCTAATTGATCGAGGGCCAGTTGAGATTGCCCAGGCTCATCTTTAAAGTTCATTATAATTCTAGCACATCTGTTGTGAAGTTTTTGTAGTCGTTCAGACTGGCCTCTATTAATGGAATTCCAAACTTCACAACAGTAGTCGAAATGGGGTTGGACAAGACCATAATAGACCGACTTCAAAGTATCAGAATTAGTGAAATCCTTTATGGCACTTATTCCAGAAGATATTTTTTTAGAAATTTGTTCAATATGACTGTCCCAACTGCCTTGCCAACTGCCTGGGCAACCACAGATGCAATCCTTGTTACGGTTGCATCTGCGAGATCCGAGACAGCTGTCACAGCCGATGAAGTTGCCTGAGAAGACGCAGCTGTAGCAATGGGAGGAGCTGGTTCCTTTGCTTGAACATGGCTGGATGCACGTCGAGACCAAGGTGTCGATTGGGCACGGCGTTGTATTCTGGTGCTGGGACGGGTGGCTGGCATAGTCTAAAGAGAAACTAGAACAAGCATCTGCAAACATCATATATATTCAAATCCTCACATCTAGGAGTAAGTAGTCCTGTATCGGACAAGGACATGTAAACACAAGTGACAATAACACATAATCCAATCGTTAATGGACAACACAAGTTTTATTGAGCATGGCATACCACAAAGGTAGCCGAACACACAACTGGGCAAAAGCACTTAACAACATGATGGCAACCCACTGCATATTGAATCCAGCTATGGGCACCTGGAATAACAATCCTGTTCCATGTAGGCATACATTCAGCAGAAAAGCAACAGTGGCCTAAATTTATGCTAACAAGCACGTAAATTCAATAACAGAACATGACTGTAAAACCAATACAGAAATAACACAACATATAAATACCATTAAACAAACAACATCAACAGACAACAAACCGGACAGATTGACCATCTATGCCAAGCCACTTGTTTCATGAATGGCTACCTCCCAGCTGAATATAATTGCTGAATGCGCAACAGGGGTCACAACAGCCATAACCATGTGTGCACACCCAAATATTCATATATCCCTTGGGCCCAGGGTGATAAACCTGCCATCAAGGAAGGCTATCCAAAGATGGCAACAAACTTTATTGAACAAATCAGTATACAACAATCAAGATGTATAGTATAAAAAGTACATATATGGCCATAAAGTCATCAAACATAATATTTATAAGTATTGGCCAAAATTTAATACCAAAATTTAATACCAAAATTAGGAAAACAATGCAAAAAACTTGAGTTGGGAAAAGCTGGTAAATTCCCGTGCATGACACATTAACGTAAAAGCGAGAGAGCCTTCAAGATCGCTCCTCGATATCTTTTATATAAGCTAAACTGTCCGTGGGGGTTAGCGTGCACCCCATCTAAGGACAGCAAATTTTTGCCAGCTTTACAAAATGCACGATATTCCCACAAGAAAACACCAGGCATATTGTCCAGTACCACAGATAAATACTGTCTCAAAAGTGCCGCCTTAGTATTAAATACCGTGTAGGCGTTTGTGAATGCGGTAAACAACGGTCAATCACCTGACACAAAGCGACAACGCTAACATGCAAATTATCCCTTAACAGTGAAACTAAATCCTCCAAACGTGAGCCCACCGCTTCCGGAGACAAAAAGGATAAGTCATTAGTGCCCAATTCCAAAATAATAATGTCCGAATGTTGACTCTTAAGAAAAGGCAAGTCGTATTGAAAGACCTTGTCAACCGTACGACCGCCTATGCCGTGCAAATATACACCTGCTGACGAAGCCAAGTTGAAATTTTGTTTCGCACGGGAATCAAAATGACTAACCAAGTCATCCCGCAAACGGCGAACAAACGAATGGCCAAAAACTAAAATCTGTGGTACTGAACCGTTCATATTGAAATATACAATAAACAAGCGATACGATACCTTTATACAGAAAGGAAGACTTGTGAGGACTTGAAAACTTGCCTTGCGAAGCCAAATGTGAATGATCTTGAGCTGTTAACGCTCAACGTTTTTATATAATAGGCCCAAGATGCACGTGAAGGGTGACACGGAAATTCACTGATGTGTTGCAAAATTCCACGGGAAATAAAACTGGTTGAACGAGTTTCCCTGCGACGTTCCCTCCATAATCCCCATTTTGCGTGCTACCCCGAATCCCTAAATATCCCTAGAAAATTCCCATGGAAGCAATAAATTGATTATTCGCTGAAGCAAATAACTCCTTTATACCAAGAAAATCAATCTTGATAATGTATATATAGATTGCGCAATTGTTAGTAAATCGATGTGGATGAAGTCTGTGTTACAATTTGCTTCAAATCATTCACAAAATTATGTCTTTAGAGCAGCAGACCAATATCGCTTCCGTGCAAATATTTCAAGCGTCTTTTGCAGACTGGTATTTGTTTATACAAGATAGAATATTTAATGTACCGCGATGGGTGGTGATCACCTCATATTAATACTGGCTAGCAATTGGGTACCTTATGTTGACAAGCATTTCTTGTTTCAAAACTATGGAAATTAGTTCCAAGAGAATGATATTTTATACCAAGAAATATCAGTCTCAATCATAGTGAACCTATATAGATTGAAAGTATTGTTATAAAGTTTGTGTTCCAACTTGCTTCAAATCTTTCCCAAAATTGTGTCTTTAGGTACGGCGATGGATGACGTGTCATATTAGCCTAATAAACTGGCTTGCAATTGTTGAAAAAATGTTTATATAATCAAGTATAAAACTTTTTTATTTAATACATTTAACATGTTGCATGTTCTGTAGTTCAGATAGCAAATTAAAGACAAGATATTGCTGAGAAGCATGTGATATTATATGATTACATTTCAAGTACAAAACTTCGGGATAGTATGAATTGAAACCCGCGCAACCCCGTCCCGGCGTCCCCGTTTAAAGTAACACGTGATCTTAATGAAACTCATGCCCTCTTATTATCAACGTAGCCCGCAAACACCCACAACTTTTGATTAGACAGCACCACCAACATTCTGGGGGTAGCCTGAAAAGAAAGATTTCTTGGACTAAATATTCATGCAATAAATTGCGCATCATTTTGAATTGAATTTATTTACGTTACGATCAGTGCCATACACAGCTCGAAGGAAGTGTGGAATAATGTCAACTCTCATTAACTCTCATGAAAATTTGATTACAGGGCATTTTCCAACTATATAACTACTGGGGCATTTACCCCAGTAGGCCCTTTGCTTGCCCCAGTAGTGAAGCATGATTTTCAGATGAGCTGGGCCTTTTTAATCATTAGTAAAAGGTTAACCTTGTTGAAAAAGCTGCATCTGCCTTCTTTCTCATATCCTCTAATACTCTCGACATTCCCTCTTATAATTGAACAACAACTTAGCTATACAAAACGAGGGCAATTGAAGCATTTTGTTATTGTCTATATAATCTGAACAAGAATCTCTTGCTTCAAAACATGGAAATAAATTCCCAGAAAATTATATTTCATACCAAGAAAGGGCAATCTTAATAATGTATATAAACTGAGCAAATGCTATTTTGATCGATGTGGATAAAGTCTGTATTACAATTTGCTTCAAATATTTCACAAAAATAATGGCTTTATAGCAACAGACAAATATTGCGTCCTTAATTAAAGTATTTCAAGCGTCTTTTGCAGACCGCGTGTCATTATACCTCACATTAATATACTGGCTTGCAATTGGTTACATTTTGTAAACACGAACGTTTAATTAAAAAATATGAAAATTACTTCCAAGAAAATGCTATTTTACACAAAGAAGAACTCTAACTCCAAATTAAATACCGAAATTCGGCAACTGTCGAATAATATAAACAACGCGTTGCAACAATAAGAGCAAGAAAAGCAATCTAATAATATAAACAACGCGATCTTAGCGTCAGTAGTTGAAGCTTTAATTAATTCAGGACGCAGATATGGTCCTACTAAACACGACTCTATATATGTCTTGTACATATGCCTAAAAGGAAAAATCTTAAAAAAACCCTAGTTGTGCCACTGTAGTATTTTACACTGATTAAGGTTCGATGATATTACTCATGTAATCAGAGATCCCTGTGATAAACTCATCCTCGCGCGATTTGTAAACCAGCCCACGCAACGCGCGTGACAGCGTTGAGTAGAACCGCAAACATACAACAAAATTCTAAGAAAGTAAGAAACTTCGGGCTGCGAGTAGGCTACAAAATTCTATCTTAATTCAATTTCTCGCCGTGTTAGTATTGATTAGAGTTATCATTTTAAAATCTGATGAAATGGATTGCATTGAGATAGCTGGAGAAAATATAACTTAAACACTATATTTAATAGGTTTGAAACGGAATTATGGCGCCACCTTTCTCGTCATTTAATCAACTGAAATCGAAAATGCGCACCTGCTGTTTGAATTATTTATACGTCTACACAGTTGTTGCCATAAAAACTGATTGTGTACGCGTTTTTGCTCGCGTTCTAGCATAATATATAACATAAACAACGCTATGTTACATGTCAGTTGAAGCGCAATTCTGCACGCAGATACAACAAAAACTCTACAGCCGATCTCCTCTATCGTCAATACCCTTCCAGGTTAGTATAATTCGATCTAAATCTTATAAGATGCATTGTAAATCAGCAAAACCTCTTGCCTCGTTAAAGTCATATATGTTAGAACATTTATTATATTCGTTACTTGCTACGAAACTTCTTTTGTGGTGCACATGACACAACAAATCAACGTTGTTTGAAGCGCACATTTATTCAGCTATAAAACTGGTTGAAATTTACTTAAACGTTCATATAGGTCCACCTTAATAAACGTTCATCATTTTCAACAAGTTGACATTTAAATTTATAGTCTACACAGGCAAAGGCGAATTAGCGCCAGTGGGATCGGGCGTTAATCCTCAAGGCTCCTTTGTTTACGCCATTGAAGCAAGTCCACGAAAGGATTGACCATGACATAAACCCGACATTCTGGCTTTCCAATATAAGCATCATTAAAACTGTAATATTTTGTTATATAAGATAATATTACATATAGTAAAATAAGCATATAGTAAAATAAGTAAAGAAATACAGTGCATGAGATACTGTGTTTTGGTTTTGTCACATGCCTGCCTTGAGATTGCATGGGTAATTTTGTCACATGCCTGCCTTCAGGTAATTATGGCGTCACATGCCAAATGAAAGCAAGATGTCCCCAAATTGTCTACGTTCCGATGTGAAAAAGCGCTGACAGAAATATGAATAGAAGGTCCTAGGTATAGACTGAGTGTTTGGTATTTTTCATTGGCGAGATAATACACTTTAAGGCGAGTTTAGGCGATTTAAGAAAATTTCGGCATGTTTTTGGGTGCGAGTTAGGGGGATTGAAATCGAAATAAGGTAGTTTAAGTTCCAGAGCAAGTCTTTTAATGTTTACATTTATTACAGAATTTAGCCATTTGGCATTCCAACCATGGGTTATAAATTCCAAATTTAAAAACTGGTTCGCAAAAATATTATTTCAGGTGAAAGAGATTCGACACCTTTATCAAAGCGGGTTTAATTTTTCATGTTGCATGCAATGTCACTGACTGGAGTTTATAAAATAACATTCAAAAACTCATTAATAATTCATGAAGCAATTATCCAATCTTGAGTAAGAAATTAGTCACGTGCATACGTCTTTATACCAGCTAAAGAACACTTTAACAAAAGACCATTGTTATGCAAACTATATAAGGATTTTTATATAAAGGTTTTTATATAAAGATTTTTATATAAAGATTTGACTTATTATGCATATGTTTTTGAAGTCATTTAAAATACTCGCGGGTCGTGTTTTATTAGGTCCAAAGCCACTCGCGCTGCGCGCTCGTGGCTTTAAACTTAATAAAACACTCCTGCTCGTTTTTTAAATAGTACAAACAAAACGTTCACTAAACCTATGTTTTCCTTGCAGGAAGTTGAAAAAATTTCCGTCAAGTAAAAGGAGTACAATGAGTCAAAAAACAAAAATAACGAAGACAAAGATGTCAAAGAAGAAAAATAACGAAGAGGAAAATAACGAGACCATTGAAGATAGCAACACTGATAAAAATAGCGACGCTACTAAAAATGACGTCACCAGTGGATCTAGCGACAGGTTAGTGTAAAATGATTCTACTGCTATTAAAGTGAACATGCATGACAGGAAATTTTCTCCTTAATTTTTATGCATCACCTGAAAGTGTCTTGAAAATTATGACGAACCATTTATTCACAGTTCATCTCGTTCCCACGTTATCGGGCAGTTGTACTTTTCGTGGCATCATTTTCAACAAGTTGACATTTAAATTTACAGTCTACACGGGCAGAAGCGAATTAGCGCCAGTGGGATCGGGCGTTAATGCTCAAGGCTCCTTTGTTTACGCCATTGAAGCAAGTCCACGAAACGATTGACTATGACATAAAACCCGACATTCTGGCTTTCCAATATAAGCATAATTAAAACTGTAATATTTTGTTATATAAGATTTAAACTGTATATAGTAAAATAAGTAAAGAAATACAGTGCATGCATGGGATACTGTGTTTTGGTTTTGTCACATGCCTGCCTTGAGATTGCATGGGTAATTTTGTCACATGCCTGCATTGAGATTGAGTAATTTTGTCACATGCCTTGCCTTCAGGTAATTATGGCGTCACATGCCAAATGAAAGCAAGATGTCCCCAAATTGTCTACGTTCCAGTTTTCTGATGTGAAAAAGCGCTGACAGAAATATGAATAGAAGGTCCTAGGTATAGACTGAGTGTTTGGTATTTTTCATTGGCGAGATAATACACTTTAAGGCGAGTTTAGGCGATTTAAAAAAATTTCGGCATGTTTTTGGGTGCGAGTTAGGGGGATTGAAATCGAAATAAGGTAGTTTAAGTTCCGAGAGCAAGTCTTTTAATGTTTACATCTATTACAGAATTTAGCCATTTGGTATTCCAACCATGGGTTATAAATTCCAAATTTAAAAACTGGTTCGCAAAAATATTATTTCAGGTGAAAGAGATTCGACACCTTTATCAAAGCGGGTTTAATTTTTCATGTTGCATGCAATGTCACTGACTGGAGTTTATAAAATAACAAATAAAACGTTCACTAAACCTATGTTTCCCTTGTAGGAAGTTGAAAAAATTTCCGTCAAGTAAAAGGAGTACAATGAGTGAAACAAAAAAAAAATAACGAAGACAAAGACGTCAAAGAAGAAAAATAACGAAGAGGAAAATAACGAGACCATTGAAGATAGCAACACTGATAAAAATAGCAACACTGATAAAAATAGCAACACTGATGACGTCACCAGTGGATCTAGCGACAGGTTAGTGTAAAATGATTCTACTGCTATTAAAGTGAACATGCATGACAGGAAATTTTCTCCTTAATTTTTATGCATCACCTGAAAGTGTCTCGAAAATTATGACGAACCATTTATTCACAGTTCATCTCGTTCCCACGTTATCGGGCAGTTGTACTTTTCGTGTCATGACGCAGCAAAAAAAAGAAAGTCTAATGTCTCAGAAGAGATTCTACGAAATGAAATGTTGTAGTTAGTAAGTGCATGCACCTAGTAAGCAAACCTTTTGGAACGTTTAAAATGATATATACACTTCCTTTAAATCGACTTATTTTGATAAAAAGCAGCGTGCATTCCGCCATCTTGGATATATGCATTCGATATGCATACGTCACAAGTAAGGTGTAAAAAGCGAAATTTTTATCTTGCAAACCAACATGCCATTATCAATATGAAATTCGATTTTCCAAAGTCTTTTTACAGTACTCAATTAACTCACAACATGTTAAGAAACTTTTCGAAGAAATTTAGTCCCGCATGAAAAAATTTACCCAGCTTCTAACGTCATCAAAATCTCAGTTAATTAGGTCAATTATATAATACCAAAATGGCGGACTGCACACTGTTTTTGGTTAAAATATTTTAAAAACCAAGCAAGGTACAAAAAAGTTGTGAAGGGTCTTCATATATAACTTTAAAAGTTCTTTCAAATAAGACAAAGTTAATTTTTATTGCCATATCCTTTAAAATTCATTAAAATTAAAATTCCTAAAGTAGGGTTATCTATTTCGTTTACCCATAAAAATGTAATTTAAACCTAACAATGGTTGTAATTCCCGTTGAAAAACGGGACTCAATTCTGTATTTTGAGTTAAACCAGTGCAATATGCATAAATCACGTTGTATATTTTAGGATAGCGTGAATATAAAATAGCTGCAGGCACACAATATTTTCGTAGTCTTAACCATAAAAATGTATATTTTGTTAATTTGGTAGCAGCAGTGAAACCGAAAGCACGACGGACGAAAATGGAAATAATTGTGGCGATGAAGAGTGCCATAAAATTTACGATGACGTTGGACATATCAAACAACGTGTGGGAGATGAAAGAATCCTTGGATCAAAGGCTCAGTTCTGCGCTGCTTTCTACCATGTTCACGAATGGAACTTCGGAAAAAGACAGCACTATTGTCTTGATGAAACAAATTGCATTATCGCCAAGAGAGTAAGTGCCAACAACAACAACTGGTCTCTACAAGCCCTAAACGTAGTTGCTGTTGTAAAATTCGAAGATGAAAATGGAATAATTCTGTATGAAGGAAGATACACCAACTGCGGCAAAGAGCAAAAACATGCCGAAGATTTCTTTAAAGACGACATAGAAAATGGAGAGTTGACAGAGAAAGTGAAAGCCAACCAAAATGGGACAATAACCTTGTACCTTACGTATCAGCCGTGCAACAAGTCCACTGAAGGAACAGCAAACACTCCGGCCGACAAAACCTGCTGTGAAACACTTACAACAGTATTTGAAGGCATACTGCGGCAAAATAATATAAGTTTGTGCGTTAAAGCAGCCAACACATCTCGATTAAGTCTAACAAAAGAAACTGATGCAGTAAAAGAGAAGTTGCGAAACAATGCTGTAGAAGGAATAAAGGAGCTAATGAGAATTGGTGTAAATATCAGTGAAATGACACCCGAAGATTGGGACTATCTAGTTACCATGACAGAAGATTTTCTGCCTCGCAGACATTTAGATAAAACTGTTCAGAGTGTTCTCGAGCGAATATGTGCACGGATTAATAAACGTAAAACCCCATAATTCGCTCTCTGAAAATCTTGACAATTTGTAATACACATGCACACTGCTTAATCTGGCTCGTATCCATGCGCTATAGTTGCTTTATAGGCCACATAATAAGGATATACATGAAGTATTGAAACAAACTGGCTACGCGCTCACAATTGCAATTACTTCATGCATGTAAATGTAAATCCACCTTACACGTCGCCGCAAATATTTTTTTCCGTAGACAGTCGGACTCCTCATTGATAGTCGGACGCATCATTGTCTCAGTCTAGTAAATGATATATTAAAATCCCATGGTGGTAAAGGTAGCTACGAGGCATACAGTGACTTAGCATTAATATATTAAATTGTCATAGTGTTAAACTTTAAGGTAGCTCTACATTCTAGTGGAAACGCGGGATACGCAGTCAAGTAGTTATTTTGAGAACGAGGGATACCGTTAGATTAGCATTAGATGAAATTCTCATACTACAGGTAGCTCCTCTATATTTTAGTGGATACGCGAAATACGTGGATACGCAGTCAAGTAGTTTATATTTTGAGATCAAGGCAACAGTTAGCATTAATAGATTAAATTCACATGCTATAGAGAGCTTAAATGTGGTGTAATATGTAAATATGTTCCTCACAACCGGACATTGGTGCTTGACAGATTATGATTTATGATTAATTAGCGTCGCTGGGAAAAAAAAATTTATATTATAAAACATACTAAGCATAATATTAAACATTAAAAGTCTTGCATGATATTTCCTTTATAGCTATCAATTCGTTATAGTTTGTGTATATTAGAACCAGGCAATAAGATCTGGTATATATGTATCCACTATCCAGTGAAATGTGGCCGGGCTACATGATATGATATCACTAGTGGACGGGTATTCTGCAATACTTCCATTTGTGGAAAGTGGTTTTGATGGTCGCTTTGAATCTTCCAATATTTCCTTGCACGCTAGTAGTAGTTATCTTATACTGATTCTGTTCAATTGGGATGGTATATAGTTTTAACTCGCAATAACAGTTGTTGAGTATTTTCGGAACCAGAAAAACAAAGTTTGTAGATTTGCTATAGCATCGCGAAGAAAATCTTTCTACAAGTGGTCGAAGACTGGAACAACGCGGAAACAGCGAATGGTAGCTGACATCAACTGAGTTGTACAAAAAATTAAATAATGATTTAGAAAATATACATCAATGGTTGTTGGCTAACAAATTAACACTTAATACGAGTAAAACTGAATACATGATTGTTGGCTCCAGACAGAGACTAGGCAAAATAGATGAAGAAGCTGAAATTAAATTGGGAGATAATAAAATAAAAAAAGTTTCAGAAACAAAAACTTTAGGTGTTATTGTCGATGACCAACTTAAATGGAATTCACATATAAATACGGTTGCCACCAAAGTATCAAAAGGCATAGGAATGATTCGACGAATGAAAGCTTTTCTACCCCAATCAACCCTTATTTCTGTATACAATTCAATTATCTTGCCCCACTTTGACTATTGCAGCCTTGTTTGGGATATAGGAAATGTATATTCGCTCGAAAAACTCCAAAAACTGCAAAACAGGACTGCAAGAGTCATAACTGGTAAATCATATGATGTCAGATCTAAGGATATATTAGAAGAATTAAGCTGGCAGTCGTCATTGATGGAAAGATGGGGTAATAATAAGGCGATATTTATGCATAAAGTTACGAATGGTGAATACTTAGAAAATATATCTAGCTCGTTTGTCGTTAAAAATAATGACAATTATAATTTACGAAATAATAATATCGATTATAAATTAGAAAAGCCCAAAACAAACTTTTAAAAAGCTATTCAGGCGTAAAAATTTGGAATGAATTACCAGTAGAACTGAAAAGCAATTGCTTGCCATTAAACGCATTTAAAACCTTGCTTCGGGACACACCTCAACATAATACTTAAGTCTTATCATATTATGTGGTGTACTATGTAATGTGTAATGTGTAATGTGTAATGTGTAATGTGTAATGTGTAATGTGTAATGTGTAATGTGTAATGTGTAATGTGTAATGTGTAATGTGTAATTTGTAACTATATACTAATTGTAATTATTAACCCAAACTTTTTTTGTAAATATGTATTGTGCAACGGTCCCTTGGAAAACAGCTCTTATCTCAACCTCGCAAGCAAGCGGTTGTGGAGGCCCTTGCTTGCGAGGTTGCTCTTATCTATGCTGAAGGGCTACCGTTGTTTTTAAAGAAGATTAAATAACAATAATAATAATAATAATAATAATAATAATGGTATACCAGTGGATTATGCAGGGTACGAAGGGATCGATCGATAACGCGCGAAGGCCTGGACGCAGATCAATGATGCGTCCGACTATCAATGAGGAGTCCGACTGTCTACGGAAAAAAAATTTGCGTCGCCGTCCCGTTCTTTTTGGACCAGGATATGTTATTGTTGCGCTTATCAAACTATCACCGTATAATATTACAATTCTCCATACGATTTTTAGTCTAATTTAAAGGTTCATAATATGATTAAAGTCAATGTGTTATTTTAAACAAATGAGTTCAACATTATTACATCGTTCACACAACAACAGCGTGAAGCCATCTTCCTGTAGACATTTCCGAAAGTTCTTGCCAAGTATATAACGTTCAAAGTCGAAAGTTTCAACTGACTTTAAGGAACGATCTTGCTCACCAATGCCTCCCAGTACTATAATGTTGTTTCCAATAACAACTGCAGCACATGCCCGTCTTATACATCTCATTGACGGCAGCAAGTGACTTTGTTCAGTCTTGACATTGTAAATGAAAACTGTACCTAATGCTTTGCCATGTTTGTCAGCGCCGCCTATAACATCGATGTTGTCTCCCCATCTCACAGTTGCCATCACACTCACTTCATACGGCAGTGATGCCAACTGTTTACATTCATTCTTCTTTATATCATACAGTACGACACTGCTGAGGTTGTCTTGGTAACTGTCAGTTGTTCTGCCATCAACGATCAACAAGTTATCATCAAATCTTTGCGTGCTGTGAAACTGTCTCGGTTGTGGAATTCGTGATAAGGTCTTCACAGCATAGGGAAACACCAGCTGGAGTTCATGTGGGTGCGTTCTTTTAATTAAATTTTTCATTCAAAATAAGGAATTTTTTGCAGTGAATTTCAAGGTATCCTGTGCTATTAACTCCTGGAATCGTACATAATATATTTTATTCATTTGCTTACAGCCTTGCCAAACGACAGTTTGCTTCCAAGAGAATTTTCTCAAATAAGAACAAGAATTGCATGAGAGTTAACAAGAGTTGACTGCATATATTACTGATCAAATCAGCAAACACTCTCGTCAACTCTCATTAATTCTGATCAAAATTTGAAACCAGCTTAAAGTTGATGAAAGTTGATGAATGTTGGCGCTCAAACGCGAGCGAGAGTTACAACTCTCATCCTTGTTTGACTAGGGTATACTTTTCACTCAAAAAATTAATTCAATATTACCATATACTTGGTTAAAAACTGAATATAATTTTGATTACACATACCAAACTATCACAGTATAATACTACAATTTCCTACAGGTTTTTTACTTTAATTTAAATGTTAATAATATGATTAAAGTCAACTTGTTATCCTAACAAATGAGTTCAACATTCTCACATTGTTCACACAACAACAGCAGTGTGAAAACTTCTTACTCGAGACATTTCTGGAAGTCCTTGCCAAGTATAACTTTCAAAGTTGAAAGCTTCAACCGACTTCAAGGTTCCTTGCTCACCCTGTCCTCCCAGTACAACAATGTTGTTTCCAATAACAACTGCAGTACATCCCCGTCTCTTACATCTCATTGACGGCAACAAGTGACTTTGTTCAGTCTTGACATTGTAAATGATAACTGTATCTAATGCTTTGCCACGTTTGTCAGCGCCGCCTATAACAACGATGTTGTCTCCCCATCTCACAGTTGCCATCTTACTCACTTCATACGGCAGTGGTGCCAACTCTTTACATTCATTCTTCTTTATATCATACACTACCACACTGCTGAGGCTGTCTTGAGATCTGTCAGTTGTACTTCCACCAACGATGAACAAGTTATCATCAAATAATTGCGTGCTGTGATACTGTCTTGGTTCTGGCATTCTTGATAAAATCTTCACAGCATAGGAAGACACTAGCTGGACTTCATGAATACAGTCAGATACTCCGTTTCCATTACGACCACCTGTGACTATCAAGTGATCATTATACAGCACACTGCTGTGGCATGCCAACTTAGCAAGCAGTTTAACAGGACAGTTACTCCAGTGCACTGAGAGATCAGGCTTTGGGTTGATATTCATTCTAGTGATATCATCATCGACAAAGCCAGAACAGTGACCTCCAGCAATTGTCACATGATTGTTGTAAACAAACGAAGTCGCTGAAGAACGCTGCTTTGGCAAGGATTGTAATGGCGACCATGTTCTTTGACGCCAGTTAAATATCTCTACAGAGTCATTCCAGGCACCTCCAGCAACAATTATATTTTCCTTATCACCACTTGCTGTATTTCGTACTTTTCTTGTGTTTTCTTCTATCTTGTCCTCCATCTTGACAAGAACGTCCTTCATTTCATCAAAACCTTTAATCAAAGCTGTTTTCAATCCTCTTACTTCATTATTCACTGCTTCGAGTTTTCCTTCCATATCTGCCGCATTTCTCTCCATATTCTTCTCGAGATTCTTCTCCACATTCGCTATTTTCGTTTTCATTGTTTCATTTGTCGCCAAAATCGCTATATTCTTCTCGACATTCACTATTCTTTTCTCCATATTTGCCAACGTTTTCGTCGTTTCTCCGCACGAGTGACACTTCAATTTGCGAAATTCACATAGTTCACTTTGATGGTGAATAAGATCATGCTGGTTTAAAGTTACACCACAGCCTTGGTTTGCACAAACGGCTGGTGTAAATCCACATGTAGCCTCATGGTTGTCAAGATGTTCCAGCTGTACAATTTCGTGACAACCTCTGTCGATGTAAATGCAATGAATCTTCAATTCATTTAAATAATCTTTCACCATTCTGTTCGGTTCAGCTAGAGTCTCTACGGTCAGTTCGTCCGCACACGTAGGGCATCTTCGTGAATTCTCGAGGTGTTTCGTAATACAAGAACGGCAGAAACAATGTTGGTTTCTCGGACACAGAACCGGGTCTTTAAGGACATTGAAGCAAATTAAACAGAGGAAATTTCGATTGACTGTGGTCACAAACCTTTCCTGATAGCGTCTATACATGACAGGAATTTGCTGGCATGAAATAGAATATTTAATATCTTGTGAGCAAAGGTGATCACCTGATATTAATACTGGCTAGCAATTGGTTATATTATGCAACCAAGAATTTCGTATTTCAAAATATGGAAATCAGTTTCCAGAAAATGGTCTTCTATACCAAGAAAAATCAATCTTGACGTTTACAGACTGAGCTAATGCTTTTTTGATCGATGTGGTTAAAGTCTGTATTACATGCAATTTGCTTTAAATTATTCACAAAATTATGTCTTCAGAGCAACAGACCAATATCGCTTCCGTAAAAGTATTTCAAGCGTCTTTTGCAGACTGGTATTTGTTTATACAAGATAGAATATTTAATGTACCGCGATGGGTGGTAATCACCTCATATTATTACTGGCTTGCGATTGGGTACCTTATGCTGACAAGCATTTCTTGTTTCAAAATATGGAAATTAGTTCCGAGAAAATGATATTTTATACCAAGAAATAACAGTCTGCACAACATATAGACTGAGAATATTATTTTGATTGGCGTGGATGAAGTCTGTATTAGAATTTGCTTCAAATCTTTCATAAAATTATGTTTTGAGGTACGGCGATGGGTGACGTGTCTTGATATCATATTAATACTGGCTTGCAATTGTTGGCAAAATTGTTTATATAATAAAGTATAAAGCATTTTATAAAATACATTTAAGATGTTGTATTTTTTGTAATTCAAATAGCAAATTAAAGAGAAGATATTGCTGAGGATCATGTCATATTATATCATTACATTTCAAGTACAAAACTTTTGGATATTAATGAATGAATTGAAACCCGCGCAACACCGTCCCCGTTTAAGATAACACGTGATCTTAGTAAACATGTTTGATTGGCTAAAACGTTTGCTAAAACGTCAGGTACGTTATTGCCATCAAAACCCCATAACTTTAGTTGCTGATTAGCCAAATCCCAAGACGTCGGTTCAGGCAAACAGGTTTTCAATTCGTTCTTGCACGTTTTTAATGTATATAATATATATAAGTCTCACTCATTTCCGCTTTTGCTTGCCCACGTAAAATTTAATACTTTGCCATTATAGTGATCAATGTTTCAGGCATGTTTAAAATACAGAAACTATTCTTGTCAAACAAATGCAAATTTCGCAAAGCATAGATAGTTCACACAGCAAGACAGATAATTGTGCAATACTCGAACAAAAATTATTTAATCTTTCAAAGAAGTTTAACTTTGCCAATTCACAACAATTGCATGAGTTACATTAAATCTTCGAAATATCTCTAATTCGAAAACATTCTTGGATTTTCGGTATGAAACAAAGTTGGTATATGTTGAATTTCGAAATTTCAAGCTGATATACTTGAAATTCTAAATAAATGCAAATGTCTCAACATATATCAAATTGTCACAGCATGATAGTTAAGATGGTATTGTCAAACCAAACCAGTTATCCCCTTATAAGGATGTTGAGAGATTGCCGTTTAAATGCCGTTTAGATGTTTTGAACATAATGCATATTACGACAAATTAAGGTGTTGTCTCAAACACAAAATACAGTTGACGCCGTCTACATCAATTTGTTACAGAATCTTCAAAGATTACCTATAAGTCACCATTCGTCAACTTTGGTAAGTCTAATTTTATCTTCCTGGTAATATTTAAATAACTCACAACTAGGATCCATCATGGAAATGCTAAGAACTCGCTGCCAATCTTTGTAGACTTGATAGCTCAACAATTAGACCAGTGGACTAGATTTCTGAAGATTGAGAGTTGAAAGAATTAATAATCCGTGAGAACCCAACACCAATCTCTGTAAACCTAATAGCTCAACATGTAGAGCAGTGGACTAGATTCCTGAAGGTTGAGAGTTTAAATCCCGTTTACATATAAAGGATAAGAACTCATTATCAATCTCTGTAGACTCGACAGCTCAACATGTAGAGCAGTGGATTAAATTCCTGAAGGTTGAGAGTTTAAATCTCGTGTACTTATAAAGGATACGAACTCACCATCAATCTCTGTAGACTTGATAGCTCAACAGGTAGAGCACTGAACTAGATTGCTGAAGTTTGGTTGAGAGTTGAAATATTGTATCTTTTATAAAGGATAAGAACTCGTTATCAATTTCTGTAGACTTGATACCACAACATGTAGAGTCAAGGTAGATCAGTGGACTAGGTTTCTGAATGTTGATAGTTAAAATCTGATGAATTTAATAATTAATAGCTCGCCATCAAGCTCTGCATAGGCTTGATGAAAGGTATATATGTTTGTTTGAAAGTTTTGTATGCATAGTGTAACACTGGAACAATTTTTCAGAAAAACACCGGATATTTATTGTTATAAAGCTTTCGATCCGTAAACCCGGATCAATGCTATAACAATATATCATTAGCACTGATGAAAACCTGGACTTAAGATTGATATCTTTCCAATAATAAATATATTTGGTACGTTCCAAGAGCCAAAACAGATATTATATTATAGCATGGAACCATACAAAGACATTAAATGCAAATTTTCAAATGTGCAAAGTTGAGAGGTCAACGTATATAACAGTACAGTACAAGTTGTAATATTTCAATGAAATTCAACTTTACTTGACCATGAGAAATATATAGTTGTACGCTAAATCTTTAAAAACCTCTCTTATTCGAAACTGTTCTTTCGATATGAAACAAAGTCCAAGTCAATACTCGGAACTACAAACCGATACTTGGAATTCTAAAAAGATGCAAATGTCTCAAGATATATCAGATTGTCACAGCACGGTGATTCAAATGGTATTGTCAAACCAAACCAGTTATCTCCTTATAAGGATATTGAGAGATTGCCGTTTAAATTTTTTGAACACAATATATATTGCGACAAATTAAGATGTTGTCTCAAACAGAAAATACAGTTGACGCCGTCCACATCAATTTGCCACAGAATCTTCAAAGATTACCTATAAGTCACCTTTCGTCAACTTTTGTAAATCTAATTTCACTATGCTTTCAAATAACAAATAAAAAGTTCACTAGACCTATTTTTTCCTTATAGAAAGTGGAAAGAATTCCTGTCGAGAAACAGGAATGAGAGATCGACTTGAGTACAAGAGCCCGACATGGCTGAAGCACAAAACGAAGCACCGACGCTCTCTCCCAGTACAACAAACGACAGTAACCTTTCTGATTCTCTATTTAAGAACGGTTCCGACTTTAAATGGGACGGCACATTTGAAAAGTTGAAAAGTTTCGTCAAAACAACGCTTTCACTGAACGGTATCTGGTCGTCTCCAAAGGCAAATACTGAGAAGTTTACCACAAAGTCTAAAATGAATCATTTCTCAATCACGATAACGTTTCACAGCACTACAAAGACACTTCAAATTCAAGGGAAGAAGAAAGATAGCGAAACGCTCAAAAAACACTTGCTGAAATTGGTGATGGCCAAAAATCCTCGGGAACCAGCTAACGACGAATGTTCTCGTGAATGTTCTCTTGTAGTACAAAGTGTTGGTACCAGGTTAGTGGTTCTGATTCTTCGGTTAATGATTGTACTACTGCTAAACAACACCGCATGTGCAGATAAGGTAGCTCGTAGTATCACGCAATTAAAAGAGTCAAAGAATCCCAACAATTTATTGTTAATAGCTCACCGGGTTCCAATTGTCCTGGACGATACTGGGAAATACTATTTTAATTATTTAATTAGCTGTTATACGGAATAAATTAATTAATTGGTCAAAGATTAACCCGAATGCGCACGCAAGGCAAGACAAAAAGGACAATGAACAATTGTGTGGTGTGATACATGTTATTTGTTTTAACTTGAGCACATTGATAGGCGTCAAAGTGGGATTAAATAATGGGAAACGGTTAAGACAACGCGCCAGTATTCCATGGAAGAGAAATTAACTAATTGTTTTACTGTAAAACTATATACTTCAAACTTTATCTAAAAGATATCCAAAATCGTTTGAGAGTATATGTGAAACCTCTTGAAACGCCCTGTATTTGCTAACTCCGTCACTACCACATACGAGCCAGGGTTGTACGAAGGCTGGATAGCGCTATCCACGGGAGAATGATTTTTTTAATTAACCGTTGCAAATAGTACTTCAAACACTCATTAATAATTCATAAGCTTATTGGCAAATCATGCCAACCATAATATGTCACGTGCAGTGGCTTTAAACCTGATAAAACACTCTTAATTAGTATTCTTTATATAAAGAATACTAATAAGGCAGTATCTATTGTTGTCGTGTCGTCATTAGTATTCTTTATATAAAGAATACTAATAAGGCAGTATAACTATTGAATTTGTAGTCGTGTTTGAAGCCGTTTAATAAACTCGCAAACCTAATAAAACACCCCTGCTCGTTTATTAAACAGTACTTAAAATACTCATTAAAAATTCATAAGCCTTGTGGCAAATCATGTCAGCCATAATGTGTTACGTGGAGTGACTTTATATATGATAAAACTCATCTTCATTAGTATTCTTTATATACTTGTTTATCCTAATTAGTATGATCATATAATTAGTAATTAGTATTCTTTTGTAGTCGTATTTTAAGCTATTTAAAACACTCGTTGTTGTGTTTTATCAGATATAAAACGCTCGGCTACGCCTCGCGTTTAATATCTGATAAAACACTCCTACTCGTGTTTTAAATAGTACTTAAAAAGTTATAAAATTACCGATATGGACCTCACAACTGATAAAAGAAACTTCAATCTATAAATATTAAAGTCTAAAGTCGGTTTTCCACTTGCGATTTTTTTCGCGCGAAGCCAATTTTTCTTTTGTCTTTATCCAATTAGTGCCAGATGATTCCAGTTGAGAGACCAATGACAAATGAAAAATTCGCTTCGCGCGAAAAAATTCGCAAGTGGAAAACCGGCCTAATGTTGGTTCTACCAATAGGATTATTCGAGGAAGCTCATGCATGCAGAATACAGTTTCCTAGTAGCGTTATCTCTTTTACCCGTAAAAATGTAATTTAAACCTAACAATGACTGTAATTTCCGTTTTTCCTATAAACGCACAATTCTTTTTAGTTACGCCAGGGCCCAATGCATAAATAACGTCGTATTTTAGGATAGCATGAATATGCACGAAATATTTTCGCAGTCTTAACCAGAAATGTATATTTTATTAATTTAGTAGCAGCAGTGAAATCGAAAGCTTGGACGGAGATGAAAATAAATGTAACGGTCAGTGCAGTGAAATTTACCCCATTCAAAATGAACATATCAAACAACGTGTGGGAATCCTTGGATCAAAGGATCAGTTCTGCGCTGCCTTCTACCACGTTCATAAATGGGGTACTAGAAAGCGTTTCTGTCTCGATAAGGATAACTGCATCATCGCTCAGAAAAAAAAGAAGCGTATCAAGAACTTCGAAGATGATGTGAAGAAATTTGGCGGGAAAGCAAAGAAATGTGTGAAAGAATCAGACCAACTTGTCACGGAATTAAAGGAATTAGCCAAGAAACCAAAAAGATCTTACCAGGAGGCAAACGAAGAATTTGTCGAGAGAGCAATCCAATTTGCCCAGAAAGCCGAAAAACCACCTGACGAGAAGACACTCGAGCAATTTCGCAAGACAGCACGCAAAGCTGTCTACGCATGGTGTGTACAAGCCAAAACAGTAGTCGCCGTTGTAAAATTCGAAAAAGATAAAAACATTCTATATGAAGCAAGATACACCAACTGCGGCGAAGAGCAAAAGCAGAAGCATGCCGAAGATTTCTTTAAAGAAGACATAGAAAAGGGAGAGTTGGGAAAGAAAGTGGAAGCCAACCCAAATGGGACTATAACCTTGTACCTTACAATTCAGCCGTGCAACAAGTCCACAAGTATTAAAGGAACAGCAAACACTCCGGCCGAAAAAACCTGTTGCAAAACACTTACAACCATCGTTAACAAAATACTGCCGCCAGAGATAAAGTTGTGCGTTAAAGCAGCCAACACATGTCGATTAAGTCTAACAAAAGAAAAAGACCCAGATGATGAGACACTGCGAAAGAATGCTGTAGATGGAATAAAAATGTTAATGCAAGTTGGTGTAGATGTCAGCGGCATGACAAAGGAAGATTGGGACTATCTTCTTGCCATGACCAATCCCGATGTCCCACGACAGTATGATGCGCGTCGCAAAGATTTAGATAAAAGTGTTCAGGAAACTTTCACTGGTGTAAAAGATCAACTTAAAAAACAATCAAGGACAAAAAAATCTTGACAATCCTTATTATAAACACTAATCAATATATTAGTATACTTAATCTTCACAGAAACTCGATCTTGCTTGTTTGCAAAACGATGTCGAACTAAATGCATTTCTAATTTGAAGAATTAACATTGTTTATTTTCCACTGTCAGCTAGTTAATTCATCATGACAACTTTGTAGCTACCTTGTAATTTATTAATTTAAACAGTAATTTATTATCTCATCATTATTTAACCACATGTAAAATTCGTAATTTAACCAATATAATATATAAGTTATATCATATTGCATTGAAACATTGAAATGGTTAATATTAGTTAAACAGTAATTTATTATTCTATGATTTTAAACATTGTAAAATACGTAATTTATAAAATTATAGTTAGCGTGCAGTGAAATTTTCAAACGATATAGGTAATAGACTTCAAATAATTATTTCATTGTATTAATCATTGTATAATACTTAATTTGAATTCAGTATAAAAAACCGATATTGCATGGATCACGCAATCCTGCACGGAAAACAATTCGGTATTCCTTTATTCCAGCCTATGGCTATATATTAAAAGATCTGAAATACAACGAACTAGAGATTGCATCTTAATTGATGCATGGACTAAAACCACACAAGACATTTAGTTTCTTCTATATTAAAATGGCAGCCTGTATGTGTTCTCAACGTACGAGCAGATCATGAACAACATAAAATAAATATACTTCTATGTTGAAACACAACTTATTGAAAACAAGACACAAAATTTAAGATGATATTTATGCTCTTTGCCAACTTTTTACGAGCTTGCTCAGATATGACAATGACTTTGAAATAGAGTCGAAATATCTCTTTGAATTTTGTATCCTTGAGTCCACGAAATATTCTTATTCTCTACTTAAAACAATTTCATGGTTTCCGATAGGCTAACATCCAACTGTGAAACAGTCATATCAACTAAATAGTTTACCAGATAAGAGGTTTGACATGATGTTAAACGGAGAGGCCTCATAACACAGAGTAGATAAGACATACAGAGATGTAACTGACTGTTGTAAACACTGGGGAAGATTACGTTTTCATGTAGCCACTTTTTTTCAGGCGACCGGGTAAAAAATGATCAACTGCGCGTTATATTATCAAAGAGTATATCAAATTGTTATATTATCAAAGAGTATTTCAGTCTTGACAAAAATGGGCGGTCATACTCCTTAAACTGAAAGGCACTGTAACAAAAAGGGGCTCTGAGCGTCTTTAGATATTGGCACCGAAAACCTCCACAAATAAACACGATATCACAGATGAAACTTCAACACGCTTGTTACCCTAAATATTCCTCTCGAATCAAACATGTATATGAGCGTGAAACTAGCTGAGAGGAAAGCAAAATCAACCACAACTTTAGGGCGAGGAGTATGAGGTGGGAAACTCGAAAAAGCTGATCGTGAACGTTGCTAGCTGCTCATATTCATACAACAACATGTTCTCAGTAACAATGAGTACGGATCTTAACTTCTTGTTAACTTTCTTTTATTGTTCCAATAAAATACATCTGTAAATAGCAAAACTTCGTAAGTAAAAGATACAAGACCAAAATTCTCTCAAACCATAAAGCAGTTTGGAGGTCTAGGAGTCTAGGACTGAAAATAAATTTGAAATTTTATACTATAGAAAAAGTGAGAAATTTCCTCATAAATTCAAGTAATTTAGTAAACATTTTGAGTCACTGTTGGTGCGTTCTTTTTAATTAAATTTTTGATTCAAAATATTCAAGAATTTTTCGCAGTGAATTTCAAGGGATCCTGTGAGATTAACTTTCGGAATCGTCCATAATATATTTTATTCATTTGCTTACGGTTATGCCAAGCGACACTTTGCGTGCTATCACAGTGTAACACTACAATTTTTTAAGGGATTTCTTATTTTTTTGTTATTTTAAAGAAAAGAGTTCAACATTCTCACATTGTTCACACAACAACAGCAGTGTGCAGGTATCTTGCTTGAGACATTTCTGGAAGTTCTTCCCAAGTGTAACTTTCAAAGTTGAAAGCTTCGACTGACTTCAGTTCACCTTGCTCATCCTTCCCTCCCAATACGACAATGTTGTTTCCAATAACAACTGCAGTGCATCCTCGTCTCTTACATCTCATTGACGGCAGCAAGTGCTCAGTCTTAACATAGTAAATGATAACTGTATCCAATGCTTTGCAACGTTTGTCAGCGCCACCGAAAACGACGATGTTGTCTCCCCATCTCACAGTTGTCATCTCACTCACTTCATACGGCAGTGGTGACAACTGTTTACATTCATTCTTCTTTATATCATACAGTACGACACTGCTGAGGTTGTCTTGGTATCTGCCAGTTGTTTTTCCGCCAACGATCAATAAGTTATCATCAAATAATTGCGTGCTGTGATCCCGTCTTGGTTCTGGCATTCTTGATAAGGTCTTCACAGTATAGGGAGTCACTAGCGGGATTTCATGAATATAGTCAGATACTGCATTCCCACTATAACCACCAGTGACCATCAAGTGATCATTATACAGCACACTGCCGTGGTATGCCAACTTAGCAGGTAGTTTAACAGGACAGTCACTCCAGTGCATTGAGAGATCAGGGTTTGGGTGGGTATTCATTGTAATCATACCATGAAAATAGCCAGAACAGTACAAGTAACCTCCAGCAACTGTTACATGATTGTTGTAAACAAATGAATTCGCTCCAAAACGCTGCTTTGGCAAGGATTGTAATGGCGACCATGTTCTTTGACGCCAGTTAAACATCTCTGCAGAGTCAGTTCGTACACCTCCAGCAACAATTATATTTTCCTTATCACCACTTGCTGTATTTCTTACTTTTCTTGTGTTTTCTTCTATCTTGTCCTCCATCTTGACAAGAACATCCTTCATTTCATCAAAACCTTCAATCAAAGCTGTTTTCAATCCTCTCACTTCATTATTTACTGCTTCGAGTTTTCCTTCCATATCTGCCGCATTTCTCTCCATATTCTTCTCGAGATTCGCCATTCTTTTCTCCATTTCTCCGCACGAGTGGCACTTCAACTTGCGAAATTCACATAGTTCACTTTGATGGTGAATAAGATCACGCTGGTTTAAAGTTACACCACAGCCTTGGTTTGTACAAACGGCTGGTATAAAGCCACATGTAGCCTCATGGCTGTCAAGATATTGCAGTTGTAGGATCTCGTGACAACCTCTGTTGTTGTAAACGCAGTGAATGTTCAGTTCATTTAAATAATCTTTCACCATTCTGTTGGGTTCAGCTAGAGTCTCTACGGTCAGTTCGCCCGCACACGTAGGGCATCTTCGAGAATTCTCGAGGTGTTTCGCAATACAAGAACGGCAGAAACAATGTTGATTTCTCGGACACAGAACCGGGTCTTTAAGGACATTGGAGCAAATCAAACACAGGAAATTTCGATTGACTGTGCTCGCAAACCTTTCCTCATCATAGCCTTGTATAAAAGACGCCATATATTTCACGCCTTTATTCTTTCGTAATAACAAAGCAAGTTCTGTGCTTTTAGTCGCTCTGTAGTATAAACCTCGCTATATAGACTGAATATAGATACAGTGTTCGTTCTTCGAGAAAATCTGTGTTAGTATTTGCTTGAAATGTTTACCAAAATGATCTGTTTAAAGCAGCAAACAAATATCGCTTCCGCACCAAGTGTTTAAAGCGTCTTTAATAGACAGGAATTTGCTGGCATGAAATAGAATAATTTGATATTTTGTGACCAAAGGTCATCACCTGATATTAACACTGGCTAGCAATTGGTTACATTATGTAACCAAGAATTTCGTATTTCAAAATATGGAAATTAGTTCCCAGAAAATGATCTTCTATACCAAGAAAAATCAATCTTGATAATGTTTATAGACTGAGCTAAAGTTGTTTTGATCGATGTGGCGTCTTTTGCGGACTGGTATTTGTTTATACAAGATAGAATATTTAATGTGCCGCGATGGGTGGTAATCACCAAATACTGGCTTGCAATTGGTTACATTATGCTGACAGGAATTTCTTGTTTCAAAATATGGAAATTAGCTCCCAGAAAATGATAATTTACACCAAGAAATATCTGTCTCCATAACATACATAGACTAAGAATATTATTTTGATTGGCGTGGATAAAGTCTGTATTAGAATTTGCTTAAAAACTTTCATAAAATTGTGTCTTTACTGTTTACGAACGGGGATGGGTGACGTGTCATGATCGCATAACTGGCTTGCAATTTTTGACAAAATTGTTTATATAATCAAGTATAGAGCATTGTATAAAATACATTTAAGATGTTGGATGTTTTGTAATTCAAATAGCAAATTAAAGAAAAGATATTGCTAAGAATCATGTCATATTATATCATTACATTTCAAGTACAAAACTTCGGGATATTACTGAATTGAAATCCGCGCAACACAGTTCCCGTTTAAGATAACACGTGATCTTAGTAAACATGTTTGATTGGCTAAAACGTTTGCTAAAACGTCAGGTACGTTATTGCCATCAAAACCCCATAACTTTAGTTGCTGATTCAGTTGATTAGCCAAATTCCAAGATGTCGGTTTTCAATTCGTTCTTGCAAGTTTTTAATGTATATAATGTATATAAGTGTCACTCATTTCCGCTTTTGCTTGCCCACGTAAAATTAAATACTTTGCCATTAGTGATCAATGTTTCAGGCATGTTTAAAATACAGAAACTATTCCTGTCAAACAAATGCAAATTTCGCAAAGCATAGAAAGTTCACACAGCAAGACAGATAATTGTGCAATACTTGAACAAAAAATCTTTAATCTTTCAAAGAAGTTTAACTTTGCCAATTCACGACAATTACAGTTACATTAAATCTTCGAAATATCTCTAATTCGGAAACATTCTTGAATTTTCGGTATGAAACAAAGTTGGTATATTTTGAATTTTGAATTGATACCTGAAATTTCAAGCTGATATACTTGGAATTCTAAATAAATGCAAATGTCTCAACATATATCAAATTGTCACAGCATGATAGTTAAGATGGTATTGTCAAACCAAACCAGTTATCCCCTTATGAAGATATTGAGAGATTGCCGTTTAATTGCCGTTTAGCGGATGTTTTGAACACAATAGCCTACATATTACGACAAATGAATTAAGGTGTCGTCTCAAACACAAAATACAGTTGACGCCGTCTATAATCAATTTGTTACAGAATCTTCAAAGATTACCGATAAGTCAACATTCGTCAACTTCGGTAAGTCTAATTTTATCTTCCTGGTAATCTTTAAATAACTCACAACTAGAATCCATCATGAAAACTCTAAGAACTCGATGCCAATCTTTGTATAGACTTAATAGCTCGTGTCATGGAACAATTAGACCAGTGGACTAGACTTCTGAAGATTGAGAAAGTAATAATCTGCGAGAACTCATCACCAATCTCTGTATATAGGCTTAATAGCTCAACAGGTAGAACAGTAGCCTGGATTCCTGAAGGTCGAGAGTTTAAATCTCGTGTACTTATAAAGGATGAGAACTCGTCACCAATCTCTGACTGTAGGCTTGATAACTCAACAGGTAGAGCAGTGGACTAGATTCCTGAAAGTTGAGAGTTTAAGTCTCGTGTACTTATAAAGGATAAGAACTCATCACCAATCTCTGTAGACTTGATAGCTCAACAGGTAGAGCAGTGGACTAGATTCCTGAAGGTTGAGAGTTTAAATCTCGTGTACTTATAAAGGATAAGAACTCATCACCAATCTCTGTAGGCTTGATAGCTCAACAGGTAGAGCTGTAGACTAGATTCCTGAAGGTTGAGAGTTTAAATCTCGTGTACTTATAAAGGATAAGAACTCATCACCAATCTCTGTAGACTTGATATAGCTCAACAGGTAGAGCAGTGGACTAGATTCCTGAAGGTTGAAAGTTTAAATCTCGTGTACTTATAAAGGATAAGAACTCACCACCAATCTTTGTAGACTTGATGGCTCAACAGGTAGAGTAGTGGACTAGATTCCTGAAGGTTGAGAGTTCAATCTCGTGAACTTATAAAGGATAAGAACTCGTCATCAATCTCTGTAGACTTGATAGCTCAACAGGTAGAGCAGTGGATTAGATTCCTGAAGGTTGAGAGTTTAATCTCGTGAACTTATAAAGGATAAGAACTCGTCATCAATCTCTGTAGACTTGATAGCTCAACAGCTATAGCAGTGGACTAGATTCCTGAAGGTTGAGAGTTTACATCTCGTGTACTTATAAAGAATAAGAACTCATCATCAATCTCTGTAGACTTGACAGCTGAACAGGTATAGAGCAGTGGACTAGATTCCTGAAGGTTGAGAGTTTGCATCTCGTGTACTTATAAAAAGCATAAGAACTCATCATCGATCAATCTCTGTAGACTTGATAGCTCAACATGCAGGTAGAGCAGTGGACTAGATTCCTGAAGGTTGAGAGTTGAAATCTCGTGTACTTATAAAGCATAAGAACTCATCATCAATCTCTGTAGACTTGATAGCTCAACAGGTAGAGCAGTGGATTAGATTTCTGAAGGTTGAGAGTTTAAATCAAGAATTGCACACAAGATCTGATAAGTGAGACAATTTATTTATAACAATAGCGACGGAAGCATGCACACATTATTAATGCTAATGTGATCCCACAAGTTCCCTTACGATTTGAAGTTTGAAACAAGTTTTCTGTTAAAATTCGTCCTAACTAATTTGCCCACTCCGAATTTAGTTGAAAATGAGCACTTGTAAATTTGGCAATTATTTGAAGCTAACTGGTTTGCTTGTTTTTCCGTAGTTTTTTTTCTGAGTTAACGCAGCCATTGGCACATTTTTCTATTCTGAATACGCAAAGAAACATTTTAATGCGAGCTTGTTCACTTTTTGGTTGCTATCATTGGTTCTTTTTTATAATTAACGCGCGAATGAGGCGTGTTATGAAAAGGGGTTTTTACAAAATACCCAGTGTTCCTTGCAGGCCCACTATTCTTCCCTCGCGGTGGGCCTATATATATATATATATATATATACATAATGTATTTGTCAAAAATAAATTTGCACGTATTTGCTGTATTTGCTAAAAAGCTATCAACTTTGCACCTTTATATAAATTGAAAATATGCAGTGCGTTTGTATACAGTGCAGCCTATATAACGACTTGGCACGCTGACTTCACATTAAGTAGTTAAACACTAATATAATTTAGTGTTTAACTACTTAATGTAAAATTTTAGAAAATAATAATAATAATAGTTTTCTGTGTAATAAATGTTCGCATATTATAATATTTTGGTATACGAGTATCAAGTCATAGCTGAATCGTCTGGCATTAAACTGAGTATAAAATAATGCGAAAAGACAACACGCCCGCGTATCCCTCATTCTGCCTCGTCCCTCGTCGCTTCAGTTGGGAATAGAGATCAGTGGAAAAACAATGGGAGCGCGGTGCTTAATGGGAATGCGATAGAACCTCAAATCAGGGCTGCTCAAATTAACGCGACCGCGCGTACGAATGAGGGACTGTGAAAGAGCCAGTTCTTCATTGGCAAGGAAGGATTAAGTAATAATTGTTTTACTGTAAAACTATACTTCAAACTCTGTGTGGAAGATATCTAAAATCTTATAAACCTCCTAAAGCGGGCTAAATTTGCTAATACGAGAAACTTTCATCAGTTACTCAATGTATGCTGCATGCAGAATGCAGTTTTGTAGTAACTAACAAGAGATTTTATACTAAAATATGAAACAGTTATCCATTTGTTTTACCCGAGAAAATGTAATTTTAATCTAAAATTGGTTGCAATTCCAATTTCTTCGTGTAAATACATTACAGTATTTTAAGTTACGCCAATTGCAATGCCTAAATCATGTTGTATTTTAGGATAGCATGAGTGTAACAAAAAAATCTTCGCAGTCTTAACCAGAAATGTATATATTTTATTAATTTGTTAGCAAAACGATGGCCGGTGTTGAGAATAATTGTAAGTGCCACGCAATTTACAACGGACATGGACATATCAAACGACGTGCGAGAAAAGAAAAATTCCTTGGATCAAAGAGTCAGTTCTGCGCTGCCTTCTACCATGTTCACGAATGCGATTACCCACAGGAACGACGATTTAGAGAGCATTTCTGTCTCGACGAGGACCATTGCATTATCGCTCAGGAAGCAAAGAAACATATCAAGAAATTTGTAGACGAGGCAACGGGATTTGCCAACAAAGCGAACGAATTTGCCAAGGATGCAAAGGAACTTGAACAGGGCGCAAAAGAATTTGCCAAGAAACAAAAAATATGTGCTGAGAAAGCAAACGAATTTATCAAGAAAGGAATACAATTTGCCGAGAAAGCAAAATTAATTAAGAAGGAACCAAAGAATGCAACCACAAAAATTGCCACAAAAATTGCCGGGCAACTTGCCGCAAAGGCAAATGAACTTCCTGAGAAAGCAAAGCAACTGGCTGTAAAAGCAAAGAAAGCCGTCAACGCATGGTGTGTAGAACCCGATGCAGTAGTCGCTGTTGTAAATTTCGAAAAAATAGATGGAAGAATTCTATATGAAGCAAGATACACCAACTGCAGGAAAGAGAAAAAGCATGCCGAAGATTTCTTCAAAGAAGACATAGGAAACGGAGTATTGGCAGAAATAGTGCAAGAGAATCCAAATGGGACTATAACCATGTATCTCACGCTTCAGCCGTGCAACAGGTCCACAGGTGAAACAGAAAATACTAACCTCGACCAAAGCTGTTGCGATATACTTAAAACGATAGTTAGAGAAAGGCTGCGGAACAATGGCCGTAACATAAAGTTGTGCATTAAAGCAACTCATACGAATCTACGTCTAACAGAACAAGACGACACGCTGCGACAGAATGCTGAAAGAGGAATAAAGCAGTTGATGAGAATTGAAGGTGTAAATGTCAGCGGGATGACACCGGGAGACTGGGACTATCTTTTTTCCATGACCAAATATATTCCGCCTCGCAGGCATTTAGATAGAGGAGTTCAGGATATTTTCGAACGAATACATACAATTAATATACCTTGAAACTCAAAATTCTTTATCATTTTTTGAACATCTTGACAATCTTCATTATAGACATTATATTCAACACATTTGTATATTAATCTTCAAACAGTTTGAAGTTTTGCAGTTTTGTAGAGCCCGCAACTAATCTTATATACTAAAACTTATAGCAGAAAAACGCAACAGTTATGTATATTTCTTTTACCCGCGTAAGAATGTAATTTAAACCTAACAATATATACATGGTTGGCCAAGCAAACTTTTCAGCTTGCCCGGTGTGGATGCATACTCAGAGTAACATCACATTGCAATACTTAAATCATGTTGTATTTTAGGACAGCGTGATTATAGATAGCATAGCTGCAGGACACGAAATATTTTCGCGGTCTTAACCAGAAATGTATATTTATTAATTTATAGTAGCAGCAGTGGAATCACAAGCAGAAAGATGGCCGAAGGTGGAAATAATTGTAACGGTGAGTGCCATCCAATTTACGCCGCTCAAGATGGACATATCAAACAACGTGAGCAAGATGAAAGTGCAGAAAATGAAAGAATCCTTGGATCAAAGGGTCAGTTCTGCGCTGCCTTCTACCATGTTCACCAATGGGGCGAAAGAAAATACTGTTGTCTTGATGAAACAAATTGCATTATTGCGAAGAGAGCAGTGCGCGAAAAAAACTGGCGTGTACAACGCAAAACTGTAGTCGCTGTTGTAAAATTCGAAGATGAAAACGGAGAAATTCTGTATGTAGCAAGATACAAGAACTGCGCCCCACAAAAAAAGCATGCCGAAGATTTCTTCAAAGAAGACATAGAAAATGAAGATGGAGTATTGGCAGAAATAGTGCAAGACAACCCAAATGGGACTATAACCATGTATCTTACGCTTCAGCCGTGCAACAGGTCCACCGGTAAAACAGAAAATACTAAACCCGACCAAAGTTGTTGCGATATACTTAAAACGATAGTTAGACAAATACTGCGCAACAATGGCCGTAACATAAATTTGTGCATTAAAGCAACTAACACGACTCGATTAAGTCAAATAGAACAAGATAGGACCCTGCGACAGAATGCTGAAAGAGGAATAAAGCAGTTGATGAGAATTGAAGGTGTAAATGTCAGCGGGATGACACCGGAAGATTGGGACTATCTTTTTTCAATGACCGAATATATTCCGCCTCGCAGAGATTTAGATAGAGATATTCAGAGTATTTTCGAACGAATACATACTAATTAATCTACTCTAATCACTTTTTGAACATCTTGATAAGCTTTATTATAGACACTATTTAATATATTTGTATTAAGCTTCAAACAAACTCAGGAGGGCGTTTATCGAACATAATAGACAGATTTAGATCGAGGACGCGAACGTCAAAGACGACGTGGAAATGGCGTCAAAATGGCGTGGCATATCCATACATGGGCACAACACGCCATTTTCACGTCGTCTTTGACGTCCGCGTCCTCGATCTAAATCTGTCTAATATCGGACTAAGTGCAATTTTCGACAAGAAATACCTCGAGAAATACATTTGTTTTATGCATGCATGCGAATTGAAAATTTTAAGAAATCGTTTATTTGCCAATGTGAGCTCAGGCTTCGACAGCATAATATGCAATATTGCAATTCCATCATGTTTACTATATCAACTCACCAAGAATCATCATAAATGATGTAGAGTAAGTATTAGGAAAACAAATGAGAATTTCAGTGTACGTATTAACTTATAGTCCAGTGTGTCGAAACTTTGTAGCTATACTTGTAATTTATTAATTTAAACAGTAATTTATTACCTCATAATTTAACCACATGTAAAATTCTAATTTAACCAACATAAGAAGTTATATCGTAAGAAAGCACTGAAATGGTATTGGTTAAGCAGTAATTTATTGCTCTATGATTTTAAACATCGTAAAATACGTAATTTATAAAATTAGAATTAGCGTGTAGTGAGATTTAGGAACGGTATTGTTAGACTTTAAATAATTATTTAAAGTCTAACGGTATTGTAAGACTTTAAATAAAAGAGATATTTCGATTTTATTAAATATAAAATAGAATCGAAATATCAAATTAAATTTTGTGTCTTGTCTGCAATAACTGCTGTCTTGAGTTTACAACATAGAAATATGTTTATTTTACGTTATAGGCTATAATTGGTTTTGCTACAATATCGTTTATTTTATATAGTGAATTCAAATTAAGCATTATACAATGATTAATGAAATGAAATAATGAATTTAGTATCCTTGAGTCTACGAAATATTCTTTAATTCTTATTCTTTATTTAAAACGATTTCATGCTTTCTGATTGGCTAACAGCCAACTGTGAAACAGTCATATACATAAACTAAATAGTTGAACAGATAAGAGTTTTGACATGATATTAAACGAAGATACGTCAACGTTGATATGAGAAATCATATCAAGGTTATGACGTCATGCTGTCCAAATACGAAATGTGGAAACACGACCAAAACAATATACGGCGCCCCCTTTGGTTTAGGGGAAACAAACTTTCAAATTGATGAAGACGAAATAATTTCATGGGCGTACCGGGGGGGGGCGGCAGTCCACCAGTTTGTTGAGCAACAAAGCCTGTCGGGCAATATTCGCTTCACAGTCGGGCAATATTGGCTTGTTATAAAAATAAATGGGACAAATTCTGTCAACTTTGTGGGAAATATGCTATCTAATAGGAGTATGAGGTGGGAAGCTGGAAGCAGCTGATCATGAACGTTGCTAGCTGCTCAAATTCATACATGCAACAACATGTTCTCAGTAACAATGAGGACGGATCTTAACTTCTTGTTAACTTTCTTTTATTGTTCCAATAAAATACATGTGTAAATAGCAAAACTCCGTCAGTAAAATATACAAGACAAAAATTCTCTCAAATCATAGACTATCTTGCTTGAGACATTCCCGAAAGTTCTTCCCAAGTGTAACTTTCAAAGTTGAAAGCTTCAACTGACTTCAGTTCACCTTGCTCATTCTTCCCTCCCAATACTACAATGTTGTTTCCAATAACAACTGCAGTACATCCCCGTCTCTTACATCTCATTGGCGGCAGCAAGTGACTTTGTTCAGTCTTGACATTGTAAATGATTACTGTATTCAATGCTTTGCAACGTTTGTCAGCGCCACCTATAACAACAATGTTGTCTCCCCATCTCACAGTTGCCATTTCACTCACTTCATACGGCAGTGGTGACAACTGTTTACATTCATTCTTCTTTATATCATACAGTACGACACTGCTGAGGTTGTCTTGGTAACTGCCAGTTGTTTTTCCACCAACAATCAACAAGTTATCATCAAATAATTGCGTGCTGTGATCCCGTCTTGGTTCTGGCATTCTTGACAAGGTCTTTACAGTATAGGGAGTCATTAGCGGGATTTCATGAATATAGTCAGATACTGCATTCCCACTATAACCACCAGTGACCATCAAGTGATCATTATACAGCACACTGCTGTGGTATGCCAACTTAGCAGGTAGTTTAACAGGACAGTCACTCCAGTGCATTGAAAGATCAGGGTTCGGGTGGATATTCATTCTAATCATATCATTGACATAGCCAGAACAGTACAAGTAACCTCCAGCAACTGTCACATGATTGTTGTAAACAAATGAATTCGCTCCAAAACGCTTCTTTGGCAAGGATTGTAATGGCGACCATTTTCTTTGACGCCAGTTGAACATCTCTACAGAGTCAGTTCGTACACCTTCAGCAACAATTATATTTTCCTTATCACCACTTGCTGTATTTCTTACTTTTCTTGTGTTTTCTTCTATCTTGTCCTCCATCCTGACAAGAACATCCTTCATTTCATCAAAACCTTCAATCAAAGCTGTTTTCAATCCTCTCACTTCATTATTTACTGCTTCGAGTTTTCCTTCCATATCTGCCGCATTTCTCTTCATATTATTCTCGAGATTCGCCATTCTTTTCTCCATTTCTCCGCACGAGTGGCACTTCAACTTGCGAAATTCACATAATTCACTTTGATGGTGAATAAGATCACGCTGGTTTAAAGTTACACCACAGCCTTCGTTTGTACAAACGGCTGGTGAAAATCCACATGTAGCCTCGTGGCTGTCAAGATGTTGCAGTTCTAGGATCTCGTGACAACCTCTGTTGTTGTAAACGCAATGAATATTCAATTCATTTAAATAATCTTTCACCATTCTGTTGGGTTCAGCTAGAGTCTCTACGGTCAGTTCGTCCGCACACGTAGGGCATCTTCGAGAATTCTCGAGGTGTTTCGTAATACAAGAACGGCAGAAACAATCTTGGCTTCTCGGACACAGAACCGGGTCTTTAAGGACATTGAAACAAATCAAACAGAAGAAATTTCGACTAACTGTTGTCGCAAACCTTTCCTCATCATAGCTTTGTATAGAAGATGCCATATATTTCACGCGATTCTTTTCTTCGCGATTTTCGTAATAACAAAGCAAGTTCTGTGTTGATGTTAGTCGCTCTGTAGTATAAACCTCGCTATATAAACTGAATATAGTAGATACAGTGTTCGTTCTTCGAGAAAGTTTGTGTTAGTATTAATTCAAAATTTTTATCAAAATGATCTGTTTAGAGCAGCAAAAATATCGCTTCCGCATAAAGTGTTTAATTTAAAACGTCTTTACCAGAAAAGAATTTTCTGGCATGAAATAGAATATTTAATGTCTTGTGACCTAAGGTCATCACCTCATACAATACTGGCTTGCGATTGGTAACAATATGTAAACAAGAATTTCGTGTTGCAAAATATGGAAATCAGTTCCCAGAAAATGGGTTTTTATACCAAGAAAATCAATCTTGATAATGTACATAGATTGCACAATTCTTAGTATAGATCGATGTGGATAAAATCTGTATTATAATTTCCTTGAAATCATTCGCAAAATTATGTCTTTAGAGCAACAGACCAATACTGCATGCTTCCGTGCAAGTATTTCAAGCGTTTTTTGCGGACCGATCTTCGTTTATACAAGATAAACTATTTAATGTACCGCGATGGGAGGTCATCACTTAATATTAATACTGGCTTGCAATTGGGTACCTTATGTTGCCAAGAATTTCTTGTATATATTAGGTATATACTAGGGTATACCTTTCACTAAAAAAAATTAATTCAATATTACCATATACATGGTTAAAAACTGAATATAATTTTGATTACACATACCAAACTATCACAGTACAATATTACAATTTCCTATAAGAATTTTACTCTAATTTAAAAGTTCACAATACGATTAAAGTTAACTTGTTTAATATCTCAAAGAAATAAGTTCAACTTCAACATTCGTGCATTAGGGCCATTTATATACGGGACAAAATAAGTCGCGACTTACATAAGATATAAGACGCGACTTAAATA